TTGACACCCAGGACCCTAGATGATCTTAAAAGATCTTTCAGAATTGGGGCTACTTATCCTAGGCACAAATTTAAGCCTGTGTTTAACATGCTGTTAAATGATATCCGGTGCTGGACTTGTTTTCAGCGCCAGTGAGTACCATTCAGAGAAAACCTCCAGTGAGATAAGGATGTGAAAAGCTGCCTGCAGAGGCTCCCTTCCCCTCCCCTCTCTTGTGGAAAGCTAGGAATGGTTTGAGCCTTTCTTCCTTGTCTCAGAAGTTCCACTTTCAGCTGGCAGGATAACTGCTAGGACCCGTTATCTTTTTCTGCAGGAAGACGGGGATACAGGTTCCTGTTGACTGCCAAGCAGGGTAAGGACAAGGAGTTTATGCCTATTCCTGCCATTCCTCAAGCACATCAACTCTTTGGCTTTTTTGTCTTTTCTTCTCTGCAGTCCTACTAGGTGTGGAGTAAAGCTAGACCATTTGTAGTCATTTGAACAACTATAGATTATATTAAGAAAAGTGTTCTATCCTGTTGTCCTTTCTGTGTGTGTATTTAGAAAGTATCACATGTAACTAAATAGGGTGAGGCCTGTTGCACTTATATTTTCATTTTATTAAAGGCAGGGCATGGGGGAGGGTACAGAAGAACAAAGAAGAGAGGGCATTATGTGACACTGATTCACATGAGGGTTGATTGGGAGACAGATGCTGACAGTCAGCATCTGTCTCCCTTTTCTTATTTTGTGGGTATTGTGAGCACAGTGATCAGGAAGTGCTTCTGGAAGCAGCAGTCAAGAAAGCATCTTTTAGCCAAATGTGGACCTCATCTTTTTCTCTCCTGGTTTTAGAGCTCTGTTTCTGATGGGGAATTCCCTTCCCCTTTGTTTTCATCTTCTCTCCCAGGTAAACATGCTGATTTACACGTGTTACAACCCCATTTGCCTGAGTTATAAACATCAGGAAAGTCCCACAGGTGCTTTGAATAGTCCAGTGACCACAAGGCTGCTGCTGATGCTGCCAGTGATGGAACCCTGGGTGCTTGGTGCTGCTGAAGAGCCTGAACTTGACTGCTTGCCAGCAGAAAGAAAAGGAAGAATGGGAAAAGGCATGTCTCCTGCCTCCCAAGTCTTACCTAGGACTCGAACTGGTCTCTAGCTTTAAGAAGCAGGGGAACCATCCCGTTTTGCTTTTCCAGGTGCTGAAAGGCGATTGAGATGACCCTGAGTACAATGACATCATTTCACCAAATATCTGAGTGCTTTGACTAGGCCCATGCTGAAAGTAGCTCACTGGTAGAATGCTTACCTAGTTGTGAAAGCCTCAGGTTTGATTCTCAGCACCACAGTGGCCGAGAGGAGAGAGGGGGCAGGAGGAAAGAAGGCGGAAGAAGTATGGAGGGGAGAGAAAGAGAGATAAGAACAGAGAAGAGGAGAGAGGAAAGGAGACTTAGGGACTTGAATTGGAAATCATGGAACTTGAACGGATGATGGTTTCCAACCTGCCACGGACAGGAACTATACCAAAAAGAATGAATCTTAAGTAATGGGCCCTCATAGACCAGGGCTTCTAACTCTTCCCTCTATTCACAATGGGGTGGGCTCCAGGTCCATAATGCACCAATCCTCTTCCACCAACTCCACCTTTTTCCTACATGTGCCTGGTGGTGATGACTATCCAGGAGAGGGCTGAGCTCTTACTCAGTCTTTTATCTCTTGTTGCTCAGGTAATTATTTCATTTTATAATTGAGGCAATCATTTAGGTTGTTCAGTGCGAGGCCCTCCCTTTATTCTATTCTGCTGAAACAACACAGTGCAGCCAGCATCTAAGGTCCAGTTTGCGGCTGAAGACATCCATCCAAGAAGTGGTAGTGAATTCATGAGACAGTGTTAGCTAAGGCTGCCTCTCAGGATGAGCCCCAGAGAGACTTGCCAAGGGCTGGAGGACATCATCCTTTTCTCTCCTGTAACTATCACATTCTGCATGCAGAAATGGTCAGTCCTGGACAGGGCTTCCCATTTCCCCAGACACCTGTTCCATCTGCTGTGACATGGTCAGTCCTCTACTTCCTTCTCCCCCAAACAGCTCTCACAGTAAAAGCTTCAGACAAACATTATTGATCCCTTTCTGTCATTCAAAGAACAAATGTGAGGAAGAAAATGCAGGGCCTATCTTTGCTGAGCATTGAGAGAACATGATAAATGGCTACAGGGATGCTCTGCCTTCTGAAAAACTTTTAGTTATTATTGAGACCCCCCTCCACACTGTCCCCCACAAGGGGCACTGGGGTGGAATAGCATCTCATCAGCTCTGACAGCAGATGGGGGAGCTCTGTGCTCTTCCCTGCTAATGCAGCCAGGGGAAGCATGCCAAAGAAGGAGCAATCTTTAATTTAAGTGAGTTGAGGATATTTACTGAATGGAAATCAATCTTTTAAAATGAAAAAACAAAAAGCAAAAGATAGTCTGACCAAAGATCCTCTCCTGAACAATAAACTTCTAATAAGGAATTCAGGCAAGAATGGTCCCAGGATTACCTTTGAAGATCTTGTCCCTATTCTCAGTGTCTCCTTCTTCCCCTCACTTTCCACCCTAACTCCATTCTTATGGGAACCCTCTACAGCATTACCCTTGGCTAGATTTGGCGTTTTAACCATTTGTGACCAAGAGCCTCATTTTGGACTATGAGAGGGCATGACAAGCTGTGGAGGAGTCCCTGTTCAGCACTGTTGTATAGACATCTAGTCTCGGGGCTTCCAGAGTCAACTGTTGCCAAACCATTGTAAAGCATGTACTAGACTAATTAGTGAATGGAAATAATCTGAACTCAAGGGGCATGGCGGATATTTGCAAATATGGCTGTAGATATAAGAATGTGTTTCTGAGGCTGTCTGAAGATTATTGAAACAATGGTCTAAAAACTAGGGGGAAGCTGCAAACTCCTTGATGACAGTGGTAGGTCTAGATATTGGAGGATGGGAACAAAACCAATTCTGTGATCTTGAGTTCTGCCTAGTGCTCCACTGGAACTGTTAGTACTGTCTCTTTCCCAGAAGGACCCTAGTGTGGGAGTTTTCTACTCATACCTTCTACCAGTATTGTGCATGTGGGCAGTCAACCTGAACCTAGTGAGGCACCCTCATCAGATGAAGGACAGGAAAGGCAGCTTACCCTAGAGGTGGGAAAATGGGGGAAGATAGCTCCACAAGAAACAAAAACCACAGATAAGCAAGCCCTTTCTTTATTCTGTATGGAATAGTATGTGCCACTTGCTTGACATATGAAAGCAGTGTGATGTACACGAGAGGTCCATGAAACCCTGAAAGAGTTTATATGCATTGAACACTAATTGCACTTTACATATGAGAGGTCCATGAAACCCCAAAAGAGTTTATATGCATTGAACACTAATTAGAGTTTACTAAGTACAGTTTCTGGGCTGAGGATTGGCTCAGTTGTAAGGTGCTTACTCGAGTTTTATCCCCAGCACACCCTTTTCCACACACCCTGAACTAAGTACAGTTTCTTGACTTTGGCCTTAGGGGATAGTCAATCTGCTTCCATGTTTATTTAACCAATTGGAGAGATTTTTCACAATCCCAAGTCAGGAAATCCTGACTCCTCAAATAATTTGCTTCAAGGAACTCTGACATATGTTTTGAAAAGTTCTTGAACAGTTGATAAAAATGGTCTGTACCTACCTATGTGACTGATGCCACAGCCACTAGTCTCTTGATCATTGAACATTAGACACTGGTCACAGCAATTGTCCTGTAGCAGCCAGCAGCAATTTGAAGAATACACCTACCTGGCTTTTTTTTTGTTGTTGTTGTTGTTTTTTGTTTTTTTTTTTTTGCCATTGTTTCTCAATTGAAACAGACAAGGTTTTTGGACTTATATTTTCTTTTGCTTTGGCTGCATACATCATATGCTCAAACAAAGCCAAATATATCACAGTAAATGACAGTTCATCAATCTTCATTTTCAATGGAAGACATTTATTCATGCAGTCACTAGAGATTTATTGAGCATTGCATGCAAGACCCAGTGACAGACCTGCTTCTGCAGAGACAGAGCACGCAGGATGGTCATTCAGCCGTGCTGGGTAGGATAGCTATCACTTGTTGTCTCTACTGGAGTTTTGTTTTTTCTTTTTTCTTTTTTTTTGCTACTTTCCTTGATCCCCTTGTTGCTAGAGTTTTCCCGCCTTGCCCACAGTCAGGACAAATCTCTGTC